AGGGAATGCCACGAACATATTCTACAAAAGCTCATTGTAGAACTCGTTAAGGATTTAGAACCAGAACCGCTGTTACGTTATTTGTATCAGAAGGGAATTATAGATCGAGATGACATGGACGAGGTACGAAGTAAGAAAACACGTAAGGACGTAAACGAGGATTTAATTTTCATGCTGATGAGAAGAGGACCGGAAGCTTTTTCAAATCTTGTTGAGGGACTGCAAAAGAAACAACCATTTCTGGCCTGCTCACTTTTGAAAGAAGGTAAAGTAAATCTGCAACAAACCTACAAAACAAAGCAAGTTCAAATTCCTTAGTTGTGATAATGATTTAGCAGGAGCCCATGACTTAACTCATGGGCTCCTGGGTCTATGAAGTGGTTCATCACCTGACTCGTCCCCATGCAGTCTTCTTCGCGTAACGCGCGCGGCGGGAGCTAAGGCGGGAGCAGGGGGTGATGGCACTACTAAGGACAGATAGAGAGAGACGACTGGGGACGAGTTAGGCTCTTCACCTCTCCAGGATTTTGATAAAGCTATTTTTCTGTTTCTTAGGCCTCGTTTATAGGGAGAAAACCTGTTCCGGGTAGAAGGGTCACCCTCCTAACCGAGTCAGCTTTAGCGAGCGTTTATATGAATGACCTTTTTGCCCAAGCAAACAGCGCTCGCGGATGCTCTGATTGTCTCGTCTTGACTGAACCAAAGCGTTTAGGATCGAGCTTAAGCAACAAGGACGGCGACAGCTACGAAAACGTCAATCAAACAGAGAATTCGCGCTTAGTCAAACTTAATCGCGCTTATTCCGTAAACGGATCGTCACGTTTTGTTCGTTTGACTCGCCCTAGGTAGCGCAATCTTTCTCTATATAAATGGAGCCTCATTTTCCTACTCAATTTATTTTGCCGTTGCACAATTATCAAAAAGCTGCTTAGTGGTTTCAGGTCATCCGATGATCCGACTGTCTTCCACAGCTAGGGGCGTTGATCTTTTGTATACGAACAAGAACAATACGTCTTGAATGTTTTTATTTTCTTTCTTCTGCAGAGAACAAGAGGCTCTTAGAACTCGAAATTGAACTCGAAAATTTGAAAATCCAAACAGAGGAACTGAAAACCAATTTGCAGCGTTTTGAAGAGAACAAACGTTTACGTGAGTATAAGAAGTTTATTTAGAGGCTTAAATAAAAGCAGTTGACTCAGGACGTTTATTCATGAAAAAATTAAATGTGCAAAGTTCAGCTCTGATCAAAGGAATCACGACGCTAATCTAAGCGCCACATTTTGCTGAAACTATACCTTCAAGTGTTTTATATGCCACCCTCCTTGTGCTCTGCAAGGCAAACCAAAGAATTATGTTTTATCATCTCTCACTGAAACTCCTCCGCTTTACACGGAATTCCCCCAGCATCCTATCTGTTACGCCCCACCTACAATGTGCTGCAAAAAGAAGCCCTCGCAACACACGCTTCAGTCAAGTTCTTTTTTATTTTTCTTCACTAAACTATAACCGCCGTTTTCATTTCCTTCCTCATGATCTTTGCTTGCTCTCCCGTGAGACCTTCTGGGCAGCCTGATAGGTGGTTTCAGCTTAAGTAAAAATCAAAGAACAATCTTTAACTTGGAAATTATGAAACTTATAAACCTAGATGCCTTAAGACGAACGGTGTGTTGTTGTTGTTTTTTTTGTTTGGGTTTTGTCTTTTTTCTCACTGCAGAAGACAACCGAGTCGCTGAACTTGAAACCGAACTCGAAGAAGTTAAAACTCTGCGAGATCTTGTGGAACAAGAGAAAAGCAAACAGTCCATCAAGTGTGAAGCGTTAGAAACACATACAAATGAGCTAAAGACCAAACTACAGAGTTCAGAATTGGAGGTGAACAAACTCTTACATAAGTGTGAGAACTTAGAAGCACAGCTGCAACTGTTGCGGACAGCGTTACAGGACGCAAACTTGCCGGAAAATTCAAGCCAGCTCGATCAAAGGAACGACACACTTGAAGGTTAGTGTTGAAGAAAAAAAAAAAATGAGAACAAAAATAAAAAAATAAAAATTTATATCGTTTTATGTCATACTTGCAAATATAGTCCCATATTAATTAATACAGCAAAAGCGCAGCTATTATACAGTGCACAGAATTGTATCCCTTTGCATTCATTCGGATATTTTTCTTGAAAATGGGTTGTGGCTTGGAGAAAACCCTTTCGGGTAGTCTGCTCTTTTATAGCCCTCAACAAAGAATAATATAGTCATGATCAGGGGATTGCTTCTCTCCCTCATCACCACATTGTAAATTGAGTGCGGAATGAAAAATACTAGCAATTTTATGACTCACTGACTTCTTAGCGATTCGGCCAAATTTTGAAAACTTGCTGACTTTGTTCAAAATATTTCTCGCTCCCTTATCAAGTAATTTCTGCCCAGTACGTTGCGAAATCCAAGGCCCAGCCGTAAGGGTATTAGAGCTGTGGAAGTGATTATGGTTTCTTCATTACCTCTGGCGGAAAGTACGTTGTATTAGTACAGTGGAACAACGATATTAACAAACCTCTATGTAACTAAGTACTCGTTACCTTATAACGAACGGAGCATAAGAAAAGCAATGGTAAATTTAGAAGCTCGAGTTAACGAAACCTCGTTATTACCGTACAATTTTGGTAGTCACTTTTGTTTGTATTTATATATTGTAATTCGTAAAACAATTAGATTGACAATAAGATTACTAACGAAATAGCGTTTTTTTTTCTTTACGTAGGACGATTGCCCGGTGTGCAAAGTTCTAAGGATGATTTTGAAGACTGTCTATTCGATGACTCATCGGGAATGCAGTCGCAACGAGTGGAGTGTAAACGAACTTCTCGGTGTCAAAAAAGCAGAACTTCGACACGGCTAAGAAGCGAATCATCACAAACTAAAGAATGTAAGAACAGTCAAACTGTTACCACTTTCCTCATTACTACAGTGTAACAGGATTTGAGACTTTTCACTTGACTGTTTTTTTTTATCCTTCCCGTCTTTACTTCTCAGAAAGTGCAATGTTTATGATCTATGAATATATGAAATCACTGAAGTTTTAATTAAGAAGAACTTCATGCCATAAACGGTTTCCTTCGATTTTCATCCCGTGTTTGTTTTGCAGACAACCTCAGTACTAAGTGCACTTTGCTTCGCGGGCATCCGTTGCCATTACTGTGAGATGGTCCACTTTTAAGTCTATTTTCAATACCCAAAAACTAGTTATATTTCTTCCAAGCTAAGAGGACAATATTGTGCGATTCCTTATTATCTTTACATTTTCTTTTCACGTTTTTCTGTTGTTTTTGGTTTCAGATCATTTCAGGTATGAGGGAGACTTTGATACTAAAGGTGTCATTCACTACCTCGGTTTCAATGCCGGAGTCAGTATGTGGCTGAATCCTGCTCGAGTACCGTCATCCGGAGTGAAAGTAACCTACTGCGATGGTAATGGTCGTGGAGACCCTGAAAATATCTTAGAATATTTCACTCCCGGCAACAGTTCCACACGAACTGGATGGTGTCTGGATTTGGGAGATTACTACACGCTGCGGCTTACCGACTACACTGTGAGGCAGCTCGGATGCAATGACAGAAACTTTCTTCAAAACTTTGAGCTCCTTGGTAGGCTTTGTAATGACGATGATTGGTGTCTGCTGGGCAGGCATCATCAAGTTGATTGGAGGTCGCAGCGTTTTTCACATATGCTCTCAGGAAATAAAGACTTGTCATATAAAACAAAAACGTGGTCTGTGAAAGGAGAAGTAAGAGCTTACCGCCAGTTCAAGATAGTCCAGATAAAAGACATGTCGACCAGTGTGCCAGGCACGCATGCTATGTCCCTGGCAGGTATCGAGCTATATGGAGTACTCAGTGTGCCATATTTGGACTAGAAAAAGTTATTTGACTTATGGGTGTGTTTATATTTAACTTCGTTCCCAGAGTGTTCTCTCCGAGTAGGAGAATACCCTGGGAAACAACCATGATTTATATGAGTTTCGCCATTCTGAGGTGATATGTTTTTGTAGAGTACACAGAGAATGAAAACGTTTCTCGACAGCGGTATAAAAGATTACCATGCAGAGAAATTATGAAGTTTACCGTATTCATTATCGACAGCAGAATATCACATGTCTCTCTTATATGGACGCTAATTTATCAGAATAGACACTATTATAGCTGTTGAAACCGAAAGTCATTTCTGTAAATAAATTTTAACGCATACATAAGGAAAAAAGCCCACAGTCCAAACCAAGAGGCCACTAATTTAATTAGGACAAGAAATTCACTGGTTAACAAATTTTTTTAAATTCTTAGGCTCTTATTATCACCAAACACTGCAGTGAAAAAAGACCGAAAGTTGTCAGTGTTTATTCCACGGGGCTTAATCAAAACCGTAAACAGATTAAGCCTTGAAAAACACTACGACAGCATTCACAGTTGACTACAAATATGCAGACATCCGAAGAACGCGTTTTTTCCAATTACGAGAGATTTGTAAATACAAACTAAACTAACATACGAAAATATCTCTATTTTGCAGCGCTCGTGGTTGCCTATAAACTTACATAGATTATGCTGCCCCGGGAGGAAGTATGTGCCGCCCCAAAAAGTATGGGTTTTGCACCGTTTTGGTCTGAAAACGGGTATAAACTTTTGCCCGATTTGGTCTGGATTCGGGTATGGTTTTCGAGGGAACTACGGGAGTATATGAACGTATGCAAATTCAAAATGGGGTTTGAGAAACCTTTTCAGGGTTAGTCTTCTAACAGTTATGGTGACATTATTTCTTACAGGCCAGGTTTTGAAACGGTGTGGAAAGTGACATTTTTTGGTCTGAAATAGGGTGAGGACTTGGAGAACCGGGCGGCACACCCCACGACTACCAAGAATTCCAATGAGTTTCCCCCCCCCCCCCCCCCCCCCCCCCCCCCCCCCCCT